TACATGCAATGGGATTAGTGAAGACATAAGACACTGGATAGGATAAACATTCTCATTTTATTAATTCAGCTGAATGACAGTAAGTCCAAATTAGATTTTTGACAAGAAGAAGATGATCAAATTGTGAGTCTCGTGTGGAATTCTGCGGAATCTCATGTTGTGGACCTGTGTTCTCACTTTGATTCATGCTAGGAAATATGGGATTACGTCAAGCTCTTATATGCCAGCAATATAACTTCTAAGTATGATTTGTCTACTGAAATGCTTATGACTCCGCAATGTGAGAAAACTATTACTAAATATCTTTTTGGGCTAAAACAAGTTTAGGAAGAACTGAATTTGATTTAACCTGTTAGCACCTAATGTGAATGCAAATGCAAAAGCAACGAGAGCATTTGGTGACTTTGCATTTCTTTGCCGGATTAAAGCCAGAATTTGAGACTGTGAACTCACAGGTTTTAGGGCTTGCCACTTCCTTCTTTTTCAGAAGTCTGTGAATGACTTTTGCAGTCTTGCTCTAGGGGTACCTTCACCCTGGGTACTAGTAGTGCCAATTCTCTTTGATTATTAGATAGCCGGGGCCCAAGGAGGACATGGTCGTGGTGGCTTTTATGAGAGTAGTTGTGGTGGCTGTTTTGGGGTCATCATGATGGCCCTCTTGAAATGGAAGTGGTATATTGAGTGAGGGAGGGAAAGATGGTGATGCAGAATCCGGGATCAAGAGCGCAATTCAAACTCCGCATAGACTTCAGCGAGCAGAAATTCAAAATTCTAAGTAACTCTTCCCACTTGACCTGCACTCAACAGGCGAATAAAAATTAAGGTAATTGGGATAATTATTTGAATTGATTAAACGCCACAAGGTGGAACCTTGATAACTAAAATCAATTCAAAAAAATTAATAAAACGCCATAAGAATTTACCTTGATAAGTTGAATCAATTCTCAATCAATAAGAAGGTTGATAAAAACCTAACAAGTTGAAATCTAAAACTTCATAATTTTGTTATTTTCAAACTTGAATGAATACAACTGTGAATTGATGACTTATTTATAGTTTAGTCTATGTGAATAATAAGAAAAATAATACCCCAAATTAATTGTAAAATTTTATAAGAAAATAAATGTAAAATAGAATAGAAAACGTGCAAAAATTAAAAGGATTGCTTTTTAAAATATGATAAATATGATCACTTCAGAAACCTTTTTAAATGGAGAATATCTTAATTAATTATAGAGATATCTTCCTTTAAAGATTAGAGATTTAGTTTTCTCTTTTCTTAAAAGATTGATTGATTTAGGAAGATCTTATAATTTAAAAAAGATTTCTTGAAGATCTCTTAATTTAATAAAGATATCTTAATTTAATGAACATTTTTTAATTTGTTAGAAAAGCAAAACCATTCATGATCTTGTGATAAATGTTTAAAATCTTTCTATGATCTCTTCTAATTTTCCCCATATGTGAATATACCCTTTTAGGAAGATATAATCTTGGTTTGGAAACTTGAAAATATATAATTTTGATTCTCTCTTGATGAAGTTTCAAAATTCCTTGATTTTGGTTTCCTTTTTGCCATTTGAGAAAGATATGAAGAGGAAACTGAAACTTTTCTTCTTGAGAGAAAAATATCTCGAGCGGGAAAAAGTCTCTCATGAGTGGGAAAAGATTTTCTATGGGCTTTTAACTTCGTTAGGGGCCGCTTCTTTTCTTGATTTGGTTGGTTGCTTGAATAGTTTAAGCCGTATGGGCTCATATCAAATGGTCATACACTTTGGGAGTTGGTTGGTAAACCACTTCAAATGATTAAAAATGTGACTGAACTGCTGGGCTGACTTCAATAGTGAATGAAGCTGATGCTACGATAGTCTATAAGCATGAGTACTCCAAACT